CTTCTTTGCGGCCAATTGCCTGCGACACGGTTTATTTTTCACTTTTTTTCTGGGGATGTGGCGCTTCATGAACAAGCGGATGTACGGGAACAGCGTTAGCAGCGCCCTCAGCGGACGTTGCGCGGATGGTCTGGTTACAGGATTTAGAACGCGTTGTTATAGATACCATTATGACGAAACCTTTTTTACATTTATACATGCTGGCATCAATACCCTCATCTGATGAAAGCAAGTGCAGCATGGGATTGTGCCCCTCCGAGGGGCGATAACTGGATGGAGGGGTGATTATCGGCGATAAGATTGTTGTCACTGCATCGCGGGGTCGGCTGTGGCGTACCCCTCACTCTGACTTGACCGCCAAATAATAGTACGTATTGCCACGGAGGCTGGCATTCCCAAGGTGGTGGATAGATCGCAGAAAGCATCCGGTTCCAATGGATGCGATGGATCGTATCCGGCGCCGGAATCTGATAAGAGTGAGCACCCGGGGGTCACCGTCGTTCGTTGTCCGCAAGGTAAAGTACCTATGTAAGCAGCACAGGGCACCGTCACGCCGCGGCGCCGAGAAAGAGGAGACCTACGGATACCTACGGACGGCCCAAGCTCCGGGCCTCGAATTTCTAGCAACAAGTCCGGGGTATTACATAGCTTTCCCAAGTCGCCGCGGGCTCTTCGGCTTCCCACCCCCCACCAACCAACCACCTTTAGGAAATAGAGACTCGGGAACGAGAAACATCCGCGATTTACCAAGAAAGAAAGATCTGGGTGCATCGCGCGCCCGCGTTACCAAGGACAGTGTCTGTTCCGCGGGTTACTTACTTGAGTACCTATGCTGAGAAGTGCGGGGCAGAAGGCAAAAATCGATGATGCCGGTGGGAATAACACACACGTACATCTCGAGCTAGTGTGGATAACATGGTTCCCCATTCACCACCACATTGGCTTGGCTGGGACATGGACCCCTACCTTTACGTTGCTGTCTTGGTCTCCTTGACAGACCTTAGGTAGCTACGCAAGCATTTGTAAGCTGGAGGGGAGGCCCGGCTTGACGATGGGCAAGGAGGGGTTATCGGTATCGGGGCAGAGGAGCTTTTTTTCCCCCCTGACGACGCAAATGCCGACTGGATTGTTACTTAAAGGGGCTTGTTGATCTAGAGCTTTTGCGATTGAATTGGGTTTTTGGATACCAAACTAGATACCCCTCCAAATAACAACACTTTACAACTTTCACACCCATACAGCGATCAACACAGAGGTAAGTAGGCAGTGACTCGCTTTCCACACGACACTTTGACAAGGACCAATACTGACACATCAGCACTCCAGATACCTACCTGCTCAGACGACACACGCACACAATGGCGACGAACCAAGCGGTAAAGACAATCGAAGCGGGCGTCGCAAAGGTGGTCGACGCTCCGATCCCCACCCTCCCGGCCGACGACTATATCCTCGTCAAGACGACGGCCGTGGCGATCAACCCGACGGATTGGAAGCACGTCGACCTCGCCGACAAGGCGGGCTGCGTCGGCATCTGGGTCGGGTGCGACTACGCTGGTGTTGTCGAGGAGGTGGGCAAGGGCGTGACGAAGGATTTCAAGAAGGGGGATCGGATCTGCGGGCCTGTAAATGGATCGTGAGTTTTTTTTTTGTTTTTCTCGGCCTGGCTTTCCTTGAAAGAAGGGAGGGAGAGAGACAGAGGAGGCTGACGTTGGAGCGCCACAGCAACGCTCTGAGAGAGATTGACGGTGCGTTCGCAAAGTACATCGCCGTCAAGGGCGACGTGCAGATCAAGACGCCGGAGAACATCTCGGACGAAGAGGCCGCGACGCTCGGCATCGCCGTCACCACAGTCGTATGTCTACTTCATCTACCACCCCCCTCCCCATTACAGCCAACTTCTTCTTCTTCTCGGACAACCTTTGCTGACCACGTACCAAAAACACAAAACAGGGCCAGGGCCTCTACCAAGGCCTCAACCTCCCCCTCCCGACCGAGCCCACGACCGCCACGCCGGCCCCTACGATCCTCATCTACGGCGGCAGCACGGCGATGGGCATCTCGGGCATCCAATACGCCAAGCTCTCCGGCTACCGCGTCCTCGCCACCTCGTCCCCCCGCAACTTTGACTACCTCAAGTCGCTCGGCGCCGACCAGGTCTACGATTACAAGTCGCCCACCGTCTCCGAGGACATCCGCGAGGCGACCGGCGACGAGCTCACGCTGGCGTGGGATTGCCAGTCGACCAACGAGAGCGTCGTCCTGGTGGCGAAGGCGCTGAGCAGCGCAAAGGGAGGCGTGATCGGGACCCTGTTGCCTGTTGATAAAAAGGTCGTCAGGGAGGCGAATGACAAGGTGGAGGTGAAGATGAGTTTGTATTATACCGTTTTCGGGGAGGAGTTTGGATACTTTGGTGAGGCTTCCCTTTTTTTTTTTTTTTCCCCCTCTGTTTTCCTGTTGTCTGGGCCCTGTGTCGCGGGGCATCTCATCTTCCCTCTCTTCTGATTGTTCCCCCCCCCGAAGACTAACGGCACCGTCATCTCACAGGCAAGAGGGACCCCGTACCGGAAAATTACGAATTCGGCAAAAAGTTTTGGGAAATCAGCCGCGGGTTGCTGGCCGAGGGCAAGCTGAAGCCCATCCGCGTCGTCAAGAACCGAGGGGGCAGCGGCCTCGAGGGCGTCGTTGTCGGGTTGAAGGAGTTGAAGGAGGGCAAGGTCAGCGCCGGCAAGCTCGTCTACACCATTTGAGAACTCGAGTAGCTATGTTCCCCTGTTCTTGTGTAGATGAAGATTTTCGGTATCAACTCAGTCTGCGTAGACGATGACCATCATGAGAAAAACATTACGTATATTTCTCAAACAGTACTGCCTCCCTTTAGCCTTCTCCTGGAAATTGCCTGGGACCATCTTCCTATGCCCTGCTTCTTCTGCTGAAAAGCGAACTCGCAACAAATCATGTGGTATCTAAAAGCACTTCCTTACCCAAATAAACGCCAGACCCTCCCATCCTCCTCGCCGTCGTTTCCAATATCAGAGACGGGTGGGGCCTCAACTACATCTTGGCCCTCCCAACCTTTTGCGCAACCTCATCAAGCACCTTCTGCACCATATCACGGTGCGCCCCCTCCATCTGCCCCTTGACAAGCGGCATCAGCATCCGACTCGTCTCGACCCTCGTCGTCTCGACAAGATCGTAGTCTCCCTGCACATACCCTTCCAGTTTCCCGCCATGCTCTCCGGGCCACCGCTCCTCCGGCCTCGGCACGACGAGCCACTCGGACCAGACCCGCACCCCGCCGGGGGCCTCGGCGCGGGACCGCAGGCCGTTGGGGATATTCTGCAGCACGGCGGGGAAACTGATTTCTTTTTTGACGCCCGGGACCACCGTGACTTTTTCGTAGACCTTGTAGCAGGCGAGGCGGGAGCCGTCTTCGAGGAAGTGGGCGTCCGAGACGACGCTCGCGAGAGGGACGGGGACCTTTTCGTAGCGGGTTACGAGGGGTTGGTGGCGGATTACGGGGGATTGGGATTGCAGGGTTTCGATTACGGCTTCGGGGGGGAGGATGCTGGGGAGGGGGATGCGGATCGTGAGGCTGTGGTGGGCTGGCATCTTTCCTCTTTTTTATGGTGTAAATGATCTGGTGTTGGCGTCGTGGGTTCGGAGGTCCCGTTGGTTTGGTGGTGGTGGTGGTGGTGGTGGTGGTGGTACACACCCCGGATGTCGATGACGATGACGATGGCGGGGCCGGAGTGGTTCTCTTCTGGAGGTAACTTCGTTGAACAACTCCGTAGAACAACGGGAGCTGGTGAACCGTCGTCTGGACGGTATTGGAGAACAATCCGAGGTGGTGACAGCAATAGGAAAAGTTGCACAAAGTGGCAATGTCGTCTGTAGTGCGCCCCAAAAAGACCGATATCTCAGTCAGCTTGCTTCCCTGTCTGGTTCAGGATCAGCGGGGATTGGGGTCTCGGGTCCGCGTCTTCTTTCTTTGTCTCGAGGACGTGGGCGGAGGAGGAGGAGGAGATAAACCTTGTCCTCTATAATGAACCACGTTTCCTTCCGAGGAACAGTCAATAGAGAGGAGAGGTAAGGTAAGGATTCAAGGGATAGATGATTAGTCGTGTAAAAGGTATGGAAGGGGGCGCGAGCGGCCAGGACGTCTTTTGTTTCGTCTGATGGTCTGTTCCCACACGGGGTGGGCGGTTGGTTGTCCCGACTTTCCCACCACGGACATGGACAGTCAGGAGGGAAAAGAGGGATGGATGCACTAGCATCTGATGCCGAAGTTTTGTCCGTGTGTGGACTTTTGAGAAAGGCTGAAGCAAACAGGCAAACAAACTCCACCAAAGAGGAAACGACGTCACCCGAAGGATTGGAACCACTGGGGAGCTTAGCAAACACGGGTGACAACCTTGCCGAGTCTAGCGAGTTAGTGCAGGGAATAGTAGTATAGCACAGCTCAGAAATGCTCCAAGGATCGGCTGGTAACGGGCCTATTGGCCAGCAGAGAGGTTCGCGTGAGATTTTGAGGCTTGTCTGAGCCTGCTGACGGTCGTAGCAAATGGTCAGGTAAGCATAACTATCCGTATCCGTAGTCGTAGCTGGACGGCGTAGACAAGGAGCCAACTCTTTTAGGGCTGGATTGTTTTTTTCTTTCTTTTCTGCTGCGGTTTTGATACCAATGGCACTCCGATGTTGAAGGATGGGAGAAGCTGAAACGAGTGGTGATACTATTATTAACCCCTGGCGAAGGAGCCACTGCCTCGGACTGAGTTGCTTGTATCCTTACGTTTGTGAGAGCCCCAGTTGAGACGCGATCCCCTGGACCCTGAATACCTCAGAAGCCTTCGGCGACTGTGGCTGATGCTCCATGAGCACCGATAACTCTCCGAATGTGGGGCGGTGCATCGGCCTCATCACAATGAGGTTGATCGTCTGCAACTTGCAAGCGCAATCGCAAACGTGGGGTGATCAGAAATCACCCAGAAGAACTCATCATGCCTAACTATGATGAGTTTGTGATGGAACCATTCTACTTTCCTGAGTTTCTTCAGGCTGACGACCAAGATGAGGTCGCCGAAAATCGAGGCGCTTACCGCAATACGACAAATTGGTGTCTATTTGGTGAGATCGTGAGAATCGAGCTCTTTACCCGCTTAGTCCTCTTCTGCCGCGACAAACGCGACTTTGCGTTCCTCGTCGCTTTCTATCCAGATGGAAATGCGCAGGTCGATCCTCGCCCATACAAGATTGGGCATACTGTTGCAGTCTTGAATACCACTACCAAGAGATTCTTGGATGGAAGGGAGGGAGTTCGCGTGGAGAAGCTGGAGACTTGTCGGGTCAGTCCTGCTTTCTCACTCATCATCTCAACCATGGAATGGTGGCTTATTGACGAATATGGCACCTTAGGCCTTTCCCTTGAAACTGGCAGACCTTTACCAGATGAACACAGAGCTTGTCAAGTACACTGGAGGAATTGACGAGCAAAGTGGCACTCGTCCGTGTCAGGCCTGTGGCAAGGAAGCACAGGAGCGCAAGAAGTGTGGCGGCTGTGGTTACTACCACTATTGTGATACGGTACGTTACTGTCGAGGTGCGATTTTGAACGTGAATGCTGACGAGCTGCAGGCGTGCCAAAAGAAGGCCTGGGAGGGCAAGAACCACAAGAAGGAATGCAAGGTCCTCAAGAATCCCAATATGAGAATGCTGCTGAATCTCAAAGCCGCCACCCAAGCTCTCCGATTCACAGATTGATCTCGAAGTGGGAGTCTAGGGTAGGGCAACAAGGGACCGTCAAGCTCATCCTCGTTGATTGCAACTGAGGCGATTCCCCGACAGGTGCCGAATGGTCCTCTTCCCTAGAGTACGATTTCCTTTGGTTGCCTCTGAGTCAACGTCACGCGATCTCAGACATGGCCGAAGAAGTACATGCGGCCTTATCGAGCTTCCATGGGTAGCTATTGATGCAGGTTCTCGGCTTCGCTTGATCGAGTTGCACCCGAGGGCTTATCTGTAGTTGATGCTCCGATGAATGCTGGTATGGTCAAAGACAAACAATTGAGCGTGAACCTAGAAATTGTTTTGCCTACGAGACTCGTCAAGCAAAGTAATGATTTCATGGTATTACTTTGAAAAAGCATATCGCACCGCAAGCGCAATTCAAATCAGCCGATGACTCAACAGCCATCACCGAGAAAGACAAATTGCCTTCTGGGAATCGCACTCCAAGTCTTGATTCCGAAAGCGTCGACAGGGTTCTAAAGCATAAAGAGTCGAATCTGCAGCTGACCAAGTCAGTAATATTGCATTTTGCTGCGCTGTCTCCTCCATCGACCCATAGTTTCAACCTGACCAAAGACCATAGATGGCGGCCGTCGTCGCGGTGGCCAACTGTGGCCAGCTCAGGTCTGACCGCCAGAAGAAGCCGCGAGATGCTCGTAGTCTGTCCGAAAGGAATTGGTCTACACCGTCTGACACCTGCGTGTCAATTGATCGATGCTGCAGAATAAGCCGGCAGGCAGGTTGTGAGGGAGAGGCGGTATTTTTGTTGTTTAATGCCTGACGCCGTTCCTCAAGAAGTCTCCATTGTGCTTTAGTATCGTGACACAAGCGCATTATTTCCTCTGGGTCTCTACCTGAGTTACGCCAGGTACCCCAAACTGACACATTCCTTGTTTAGTGTTGAGGCTGTCTTGCTTGCCTTGGACTCTTCTGTCATTGAGACTGACAACGAAGACAGACGATGGAAATCTGCGGCATCCCGAAAGGTCCAGAGTCTACGGGTAGCCGTAGAGATGATATTTCAGCGTGGCTGGTTGGTGCGAAGTTCGCTCAGAGGTGGGTTGAGAAGTTGAAGCGGTGAGGGAGCCGCCATACCGCTTTTGGCGACACTCGTGGGATGAGTGGATAGAGATGCGCCATGCGATGATGGAGGTGGGACGCGTGTAGACGAAATGATCCAGTAGACAGATGAAGTCGCATCTCCTCAGACAGGGCCAGACTTGGGATGTGCATGAAGGGCATGTTAGCTCCCGATGCGCAGTGCAGCGCCGCAGGCCAGTGGCCCTGCGAGCACACCCGTCGAGATGCAAGCTGCTGGCGGCCCTGGCGCTGGTTCGACGATGACTGGACGCTCATCGGCCATCGTACAGATGGCAGATGGGGTCCTCGTGTATTTGAAAGGTACGAATACCAGGCCTAGGAGAGGTCATTCCATGCTAATAGGCGCATGGCTGCCCAGCCGGTAATGTATCGATACCTCACGGCCTGGTGCTTCGCTGCATCGATGCTAGAGCGTAGCAGGCTGGCCGAGCCGTTGTCCGCATGGCAACGCAACGTCTCGTCGACTGAAGGCGGCTTCTCCCTTTTCTTCCCTGACTTTGGGTTCGTCCCGCTTCCGTCACGACGGTCCTAAGTCTAGACAGGAGGGAAGGGTCTGAATGTGGTAAGTTGGCGTAGGAACCGAATGATGATGGACATGGCGACATGGTGTTGCCGCTTTTTCTTCTCTCCCCCGCGAGCTTGATGCGCCTGCATTCCATGCGTTGCCATTCAGATGCAGATGCGTAGGCCGCGCCTGCCTGTCATCAATAAATTCAATGGCATGGCTGCACGCCCTCTCTTCAATGCCCAATCCCGTTTGCCGCAGGCCGTGGGAAATGGGTAAGGGAGTCGAGTCTCAATAGTCCCCTTGCTTGGCGGGGTTGGTGTTAATTTGAAGGTACATGGGTAACCGCGGACGAGTGGATGGAGGAGGACCATGTACCTCCGCGATTGAGCGGTTTAGGCGATGAACCTCCGACCATCATCCAGGCCGCATGGATGCGAGAATTCGAGCAAGAAGCAAGGTAGACTGGTGCAGAGAGAGGCAAATCCGAGGAAAGACGAGGGAGCCCGGGCCTTGCCGGATAAGGGCTTTTCTGACGGGAATTGTGATACACAGGGATATTGAGCAGTTCAAGACTTTGAGTATTGGTTGTGATAGTCAAGCTGAAAGAGATTTTCCTATGCGTTGGGGCGGTGGGTGGTGTTGAAGTTGTGTGGTTGACAGCAGCGCGTCATCATGAATAACATGGAAGACCGCAGCTTCGAGAAGGAAACTAGCATGTGGCAGCAGCGAAGACCCAAGCGGGAAAGGCTGGTGGTGGTGAGTTTTCCGTAGCAGGGAATAGGGATCAAGAGAGCCAACGCAGGTATGTGTAGGGTCCTTGGATCCTGCTAGTCAAGGAACCCGAGTCCAGACAGAGTTGTTTAATAGCTACTACCAAGATATTTTGTCAACCTCGAGACCACCGGTCAGGTATTATTATTGCCTTAGGCCAGCGCTAGAAAGGTGCTTGCTCCATAGATACCTTAGATACTTGCGCTTGCCTGTGCTAAGATTGGGATGCAATTCTACGGAGACACACCGAAAAAGCCAAGAGCTCTTACTACAGTAGATAAGTAGGTACCTTGGAGAAAGAGGCAGAGTGACGGCATCAGGAAGGGAAGGCAGTAATAGCCTGTTAGGTAAGGTAAGGGAAGGAAGTAGAAGGTATCGATGTATCACACGTGAGAACGCAGCTGGTGGCGGCAAGGGCGTTTTACCTCAGAGCCGGTGCCTTTTCTACGGTTACGGAATACTGTGTAGGTACCTACAGGCTACGGTTCTTCCCCCCTCATTATCCATATCCCTTCCTTGGGTATCCGTACCTTACTTTTCAATTTTTGTCCGCCCCGGTTCCGCTGCTTGTTCAACGTGGAATGGAAACGATACCTACACACCTGATATCCAGGACCTGCTGACCTCGTGGTTACCTAAACATTCTAGAGTCCGCCCTCGTGGCTCCCGCAGCGCGTACTAAGACTAAGAGTCCATGTACTCCGTCAGAGTGTGCTGCCCAAATGCCCACTCGAAGCGGACGGCATCCTGGAGAAATGGCATCACCTGGGCGGCAGGCTGAAGAGGAGGGAGGGGCTAAGGTGGTGTGAATTGAGTCAAACGACTCCGGCGTGCAGGGGGTGCCATCTTTCTGAGTCTCGAGACACTTGATATCACACTAACTCGGCCAATGAAGCGCCGAGGCCGCCCTTCTTAACCGACCACCCTGCCAGGGATCACCACCTTTTTGCAGACCTCCAGAGTGAGGTACTTTGAACTTGTACTGTCACAGTCTGGTTAGTGCGTGGGTTGCTGCGCTTTTGCCGTGGCACCTCCTCCCCCTTCTGGGCCAAGCACCCAAGGTACCCATCATGGGCCATGCCGTTGCTCGGGATCTATCGCCATGTACATCACACATACACGTACACGAACACACGCACACACACACACACACACACACACATACGGTCCACGGAGCGGGCCAGGGGAAGAAAAGGCGGCGAGCAAATGGGGGCGGGAACAGCGACAGCACCCAGACAGACGGAGGAGACGGAGGAGCAACCACGGGGAGACTGAGACTGGACGCGATGAAAGATGCGTGTGGATTGGTCCTGATAGGATGGTTTTGATGGATGATGGATGGGACATGGCTGGGCGGATGGATCGCATAGACGTGCATACAGCATCAATATCCATAATTATTCTTTCCGTCCTGCCTTACCTTTTACCTCGCTTTACCTTTACCTCACATAAGGCACGAAGTATGGAGTACTGACTCTGTCTCTTGCTGTCTGCAGACTCACCTTATTATTTTGCCCTTGTATTCCTCATTTGGATTGTTGACTCCCGTCTAGCATTAGTTCTTGTGTACACCTTTCCTGTATACAAGGCGGTCGCCGCCGCTCATGTTTCTCTCATCTGTTTCTGCTATTCTTGCGTCGTCCTCTGTTGCACGACAGGCCGAAACTTCTGATCAATTTCGCTGAAGAAGAGAGCAGAAGGACGAGTCGCCCTCGGTGGAAGAAGGCGTACATCAAGGTAACATATTGTAAACTAATTGCAGAGTAGGCAAGCGGGCTATTCATTCACAACAAATACATCCCGTTCAGTCAATTCCCTCAACGTCTGGCTGGCCGGGCCCGGGCTCGACAATAGGACGACGGCGTCTTACTCACACCACCGTCCGAATCGCATCTCCGAACAAGTACGGAATACTTTTGCTCAGCTCACGAGTCGGACCCAAACAAAGCACGACCTCAAGGGCATCACCAATCCCAAGTGCAGGCTGTGGCCTACGCTGCCTGCCTCCTGCAAGATATCTGGCGGTCTGCAACCACATCCATCCACCTATTCGCCTTCGCCGCGACGATCTAGCGTCAACGCGCCGACCCATTGGCTCCCTGTGAAGGAAGTGGCTTGTAAGAAATGATTTTTTTTTTGTAACTCTCCTCTCCTTTTTTGCCGGGTCACATCCAGCGCTCCTATTGCTCCTTTCTTGCATATGGCCAATTCAACCTCACCTCCTCCAGAGGGAGTCATCTTCTTAGAAAAAGGGGCGATAGGAACGGCTTGGAAGCCGTGGTTAAACACAATCAAGAAACTGGCGGGTTGACCTCTCTCTCTTAGGACAGCTTCAATCCAAGTCTATTTCCCCGGCGATCAGACGCGACGGCGGCGACTTTCTCAAGCTGTAAGCCTGTGACACCAAGAGCTACATCCCTGCTATCGCTTCGACTTGGCCCGTTATCGTCCAATTCTCCGGCAATTCTGAGCAGGGGACCAGGAACATACCTGTAGCCAAAGGCGGGAGAAAAAAGAAGAACAAGAAGAGACAGGCGAGTGTATTTCCTCCTCCCTGCCCTGCCATATCTTATCCATCCGCTGGTCCCCTCTTCTTCCCTGCCCCCAATTCACCTTACCCTTCACCACCCCCAGATCCTAGGTCCCTTGCGCCGCCGCGTACCGCAAAAGTGCTCCGTCTCTTTTGCGGCCACCCGAGCCGACCATCCCACCACCCAGCCTGCGCAGTTACATCTCCCACCATAGTAGCAGTCACTGGAGGTTTTTTCTTTTCTTTTCTTCCTTACTGACTTGCACCACCTGTCTCAGTTCGCCTCGGTCGTACGAATACACAGTCTGGAGATTTATATCTGCAGGCGAACTCCTGTCACGTCCTGTCCAACTCTCGTTTCATCGACCCGCCCCCTCCCCTCGCCAGCACGAACCCGCTTGCTTTCCCGCTACACTGCGTACAACGACTGCTACGATTACGACGACCACGACGAAAACCACGAGCTGTACACCGATATACCCTCTTGAGCTGTTTCGCTCCTCCGAACCGATTTAGCTTCCATGATTCTCACACCAAGCTGTAGCAACACGAGCTCAACTTCTCAACATGGCGGCGGTCGCGGTGGCCACATTTTCCCCATCAGGGCGGGCAGAAGGCGCATATCGATGGGAGCCAACCCAGCAATCGACGACGACTGGCTGGGCTGAGGAAGATGTGCGCATCCGCTTGCGCATGATCGCCCGCGCCTGGGAATCCGCTTCACACAATGCTCAGGTACGACCCGAAACTTTTTTGTCTGCCGTCATGGTTTTCTCCAATTCCTGTCTACTCTGGAATTTTGTGCGCGCCGGCGCCGTTCCAGCCTGGACGCCTCAGCGCTCGTCCCCAAGTCTAACGGCTTACCGTTCGCTGCCATGGCTGGTCCGGAAAGCCTTTGGACGGGAGTCGGGGGGACGTGAGGGGCATGACGCCGTCTCACCCCCCATTCCACTAACACATGCCTTTCAGATGAACTTCTGAGCTAATCTGATCCGCTGACATCCCTAGATTTCATCCCATCATCGACGACCCCTCGAAACCACATGCAACATCTCAACTCCGTTGAAAGCACCAGAGTGCGGCCCGCGATGGTTGCGACGATTTGAAGCGCCCTCTGAACCGTCCGAGCCATGCGAGCAAGTCATGGATCCGACGAACACTGGCGGTTTTGCAAGTCGACGACCATCGGACTTTTCCTTCTTCACCCAACCGCAAACTTCAAGTGCAGAACAACGACAGCGACGTAACGGCGACGCCATATTTAGCGATCCCACACGCGACTTTCTCATCGACTTCGGTTCCGAGGAAGGATTCATGCAAGCGGCGAAGAAGAAGAAGAACAAGGCGCCAGCTAAGGCGCCGGCGGCAAACAACAATAACGATGACGATGGCGCGAAGAAGGAAGACGAAGGCGCCGGCGATGGAGGTGATCAAGGCGGTGAAGCAGGTAACGACGGCGGAGCTGCGGGCGACGGCGATGGAGGCGACAAAGAGACACCGCCACCAGCAGACGATCCGCCCCCGGAAGATGACTGGGGCTTCGCAACCACGAAATCCAAGAAGAAGGGCAAAAAGGCTGACGAACCGGCACCTGATTCATTCGATGAAATAAAACTGGACGACATAGGCAGCGGCAACGGGTCGCTAGACATCAATTTCGGCTCAACGGAGACCAAGAAGTCAGGGGGGTTTGGTTGGGGATTGGGAGCGTCAAATTGGACAA